CCTCCACGTGGTGCACCCTGGGCCACGTATACACATAAGGCAAAAAGGTCTATTAACCGGCAGTTGACTTCTCACTTCAAACTACCATCATCTCACTATATGTCATATTCGACTACTTCTATAGTACTCACCTCATCTCTTTTTTCTACCTTTGTGTCTGTCTCTTTTACATCTTTGAAACACTCTTCTGTCCTCCCTCCCCTCTCGACTTTTTTCAATTTGATGTACCTTCCTCTCTGTGAAGCCTGAAGTCAACTAAAGGGCTAATGATAACCATCAAGACGCCTGCCATTTGATATAATAATAATAATATACACTGCAGAGTTTCATAAATCTGTCAAAATAGTATTTGCATACGAGAAGGCGAAATCTCCAAATTCAACTAACCCTGCCAGGAGGATTGAGATTCGGTCATTATACTAAGGTATAACGTGTAACCTATGGGGCTAATTAGGAAATAGGCGATGAAGTTTAATCGAATTCCAACAATACTTCTAACTAACCTCAAAAGTAGACTACTCAAATCAAATAAAATAACAAAAAAATTAGTGCATGTGTGTTATATTTCTATATTTTATGTTATGAAAAAAGGGCAATATGGCATAAAATCATTGTTGAACTAAAATAATTTTAAAGGGGTATTTTAAATATAAACTCTTAATGAAAGGAATTACTAACAGTTAACCTCTGAAGTAGGGAATTCAATGCCCATCAGTGAGCGAGTGAGAATGGTGAATCGAAAGTACGTGGCAGAATTTGAGTTCTTCATCAGAAAGGCTTCACATAATACTACATCTTTAGTTATCCTGAATGTTGGATAGAGCCCTTCCAATTTAGGATAAGTGGGTATTGTTGAATCGCCATGGATTCTGACAAGGTCAATCCAATGAAAAGAATTACTGTACATAGAGAAGAAAAATGATTGAATTCTAAAGGAAATTTAATGGTCACCTCGCCTTGTAGAAACCAACCTAAGAAGCATTATAACGTATGATATGATATTTGAGACGAATAATCACAAAAAACATGTTTACTGTGAAGAAAATTCTATTGAAATTGTTTAAATCGACCTACATAAGTGAAGTATTTCTAAAAAGAAGATGATTAGAGTCAAAATTGCTTCCAAATACCAGGATGGGGGGGGGGTTCCATTAATGTGGATTTTTGACAAGTACATGTTTCGTTTAAAAAATTAAAGATTGATAGACCTGCCTCTGCATCATTTCATTTCATTAAAAATAAAAAGTCATGATAGATAGCCTAACTTCAACTTTATACAGCGTGATGATCAAAGCGGTTGGGTGACAATCAGATGACAACGGAAAAATCATGAATAAAAACACACTGGGTAAGAGCACTGAAGGTCATGCAAATGACGCTTATGCTAGTTCAGGTGAATGCAGTTCACAAGCCATCAAGGGAACAAGAAATAGCCTAATACCTCCATAGTTGAAAGATTGGATCTGATTTCTGAGTCGAAAATGAAAATTAACACCATAATTACTCATGATGATAAGAGTGACTTCATAAGATTTCAGGAGAAACCTTAAACCCCCCTCCTCTCCTCCTGTTTCATACTGCTTAAGTTCTCCAATTGAGTCATTGTGATGAAAGTACTTGTATTTAAGGAGTAATGAAAGACGAGAGCCATCATGCATTAATGACGCACATACACACACACAGAGAGAGAGACTTATTATGACTTGAAAGGGTAACTGCCAAGCCCTTTCCCTACCTTTGCCACTCCACGCCTTCATCCTCGCATTTACCTCCGCGGTTCGATGTGAAAAAAAAGATAGTTATCCTCCTCCCTATTGTGGTCCAGTGTGGCTTTTTTTCGTTAAAAAATGTAGCGTACCCCAAGGCAAGAACAAAGAGGATGTGCAATTATACTAGAAATGATGAATAACCTCTACCGCTTATTCGCCTTCCCTTCTACTACAATTTCCCAGAAATTAAATGTCTATTAGGGGCAGCGTTTGTGTGGTGTGTGTGTGTGTGTGTGCGTGTGTAGGCAGTGGAATGAGAAGGAACGAATGTGGCTGGTTTTTAGCTAATCCGTCTACGTTCGTTTGCGAATGGGATTCTTAAATGATGCGTGTAACTATCTTCACTTGAGTTCCGCTATAGCTGGGGGCTAACATCTCTACAATGTAGGCCGTGTTCACGTAAATTTAATTAGAAGGCAGTCCAGTCATGGATACCGCTGCTACTGCCCTATCGCCTTCCCTCTTTCACTCGCCCTCTCTCTCTCTCCCTCTCTCTCTAGCCCCAAAATCGTTACAAGCCCTCAAACTAGGCAGAGTAGAGAGGGGGGAGGGAGGGAGGGGGGGGGGGCGAGAGTGGGCAGAATAATAAATTGACTAGTATGAGTCATAAAGCATGACACTGACTTAAATAGCATTAGCAACACTAGCGGTAGCGGCAGCGTCGTATGACAGTTTGGAGATGCTATCACAGAACCGCGGGCAAATGTGTCCTTCCTGCCTATTTCCTGGAAATAGGGGACGCTCCCAAAAATTTACTGCTTCCCACTTATCTACCAAGAGCACGCGACTCCCTTTATGTGAGAGTTAGTGGGGTTTAACAAACAGAACGACTCACTTTCAATGCAAGGTGAATATAGTCACTGGCAGTGTTGCCATTTTTTGATAACTCCTCCGTTTTCTGAGAAGCCGCTTCTAAGAGACATTCCACTAAACTGATGATAGGTCGTCCGGGAAGACCTAGCCAGCCATGCTCGTGGAAGGGACACTCAGACGAGGTTTCGGAACAACAGAATGAGGGAAAATTAACGGGCTCTGGAGCCCTGAAATTACTTCGAGACCAGGGTGAACATCGATATCGATTATTTTGGTATGGTGGATTGAGAAATTGGGGTGTAGTCAAAAAGGAATCTGCATAAGGAAGGGTGTAAGATGAATTTGTCAGTGGTTGTGAAAATGATAAATTCAAAGATTGAGTAAGGTTTGATGCTGGCGTAGAACCGAAAGGATAGAAATCACGCTGAGATACTGAAATATAATTTTGAGGCATTGTGGGTGGAGGAAGTGGCAATGGTATCAATGGCTGAAACGATTCTACAGATGGAACCGTGGTGGAATTCTTTAGATTTCCTCGAGGATGGCTTCCAATTCCGCCAATAGATATCACTGTATTCTGTCCGTTACTTTTATCTACAAATTAGAAGATTAGTTCGATAAAGGATTCATTTTATTCAAATTTAAAACGTGCTAAACCGAAAATGGAGTTTCCATTTCTTTTTAATTATGAAGACAAACTCATTGCCACACGTTTAAAATAAATTAGAACTTGCTGCGAAAAAAGGTAGTGGTAGCAGCGGCCACTGAGGTAGGTCGATAATAGCTCTGTAGGTAGGTGATTCGGTTTCGTAAATTTTATGACATGGATACCCACTTCTGTAGCTATTACATTTGTACTAGAGATTGCTCTGACAAAACCACTTCCAGTTCTTAATATTGGATCCTTTCAAGAAGTGAAGCCACTCCCCTCCCCTCCCCTCCCCCCCCCCCACATATGAATAAAAGTTGATAATTTAACCAGTATCCCCGAAAAGAACTTACTCGAGTTTCAAAAGCTATTGAACGAGCTATGAGATCCTGGATATATCACTTTCCCATTTGAGAAAAGTGGACGATACTTTTTAAGCCTTGTGTACTACCAACATGTGGGTAACAGGAGAAATATCTATGCAAAACTAATACATCCCGCAACCAGATATCAGATTAGCCCAACTCCTTTCATGAATGGGTAAATTAGTGGGAGTATGAATTTATTAGGTGGCATATTTCCAGTGTGTAACAGTCTATTTCCTTATGAAAAAGTTCATGCAAGACTATCTTTCTAGATTGTTTAATAAAACAACTTGATGTAGAAATGGTAAGCCACTTGAGGAAATACCAGCTTCTCAAATTGCTAGCCTCATATTTGGACAATATCTATGATTCGCCAATTTAATTACACACAAATCTGTGGAGTTAGAATTACTCCTGAAACTTATTACAAATTAGAGTTGCTAAGGATCTTCTTAGTTGAAACTCTGAAGTTCATCGCTTGTTAAAAAGGAATCCAATGAAAGCCAAAACTATATAAAGAAGACATAAATGTCTTTCTCCACTTGTACTGCATTCTTTCCAAGCGGTGATGACCTCTTAGTTAAGGTATGTACGCGCACTAGACAAAGATTTAATGCGTCCTTAAGGATGATTGATCGGAGTGCTTCAGGATAGTAGAACTCCACTCATTCACTTGACAAACTCCCCAAACATGCGACACCACTTACAGTCCAGCCAATAACTTAGCATCGGAAGCCTCCAAATAGTGGGCATCAATATATTTCATCCTAAGACAAGACAAGATCCTCTCTATGTGGGCGTAGAAGTCAAATAACTGTCATTTAGAAGAATAAATGATAAAAATAACTGCAACCTCACACAAATGTGATTTCTAGGCTAAGTCATTTTGGTGAAAGCACTGCCAATCACTATGCCTATCGTTGATTAGTCGTGCTATGAAGAAATTTTAGACTGACTTGAATTCCCCGAGTTCGAGCGAGAAAGGTTGGCAGCTGAAAGTGAATTCTTCTCTGACAACCTTTCGTAGACTTCATCCAGACAATCCAAAAGAGTTTTCGCAAGCAGGAAAGCGAGTTTGGATCCATCTTTCTCATATCCAGTGACATTCAAGGCTGATGCACGAAGACACAAGGTGATAAAAGTTTCCTGAGGACTCCAGCACTGTGCAATCACCGCAGAAACTAAACAGAATGGACAGATGCAATGAGATGGTAAGGAAGATAGAGTGCCGATCACATCAGAAATCATTTCTCGGGTGATAGGATTAGCAATCATTGATATATTGAATTCCAGGTGGCTGATATCACGAGCTAATTGGAAAACGGAAAATGACTCCTGGTTACTACGATTAACCTCTGAACTATCCTCCTTCTGCGCATACTCTGGGAGTCGATATATTGCGTCGCGAGGAGTATAAGAAGAAGCGGACCAAATTTGAAGACATTCAAGCCATTCTTTACGAGCAGATGCTTCGATTTCTGGAGCCAAAAGAAGACATGTCCACAGACGTCCAACTTCTTCCCACATTGAAATCATCCAAATTGGAGGCTGACTAACTGCGCTTCCGTTGTTATTCTGACGAGGAAGCAAATCTTGACCATCATTATCGTCCGAATTTTCATCAACTTCTCCTGCGTAAAGATCCCAGTTTGTCCTTTCGCCTTGAACACTCGAACGATTATTCCTTCGGGCTCTGCTGAGATTCTTTAAAAAAAATAATAAAAAAAACAAATTTCTGAAGATAGTAAAATCTCGAATTTACCCATATTTTTGAACAAAACAAAATATCTTACAAGTAATCTTTCATGTTTTATTTTATTCAAATTTGGAGGGAAAAAGTAATGAGAGGTATATTACTAATCAATTCTGAGCTTTTTCGTTCATACTCAGCCACAACATTCCGAAGAGCTAAAAAGCTAAGAAATTTTTTTCCCCTAAACAAAGTAATTTAATTTTAAAAAATTAGATTTCCAAATCAGCTTAGGTAATACTTATGTTGAACATGTAGGTAAAGAGTTAAATTCTTGAATCTGGTTAGATATTAATTAACAGGCTTTCGTTGAAATTGCACGCAAAAACACAACACAGTTCAAACAACAGTCGTCAAAATCCCCTTTGCCTTGGCTTCTGTGAGGTGACATTTTAGTCCAAATACTTCTATTCCACCACTATATAGATTTAGGCGGATTAAATGTTAAAGCCTCACACTCCTTGGCAGGAAAGGTCGCCCAAATACATACCCATACAAGTTAGGAAATAAGTTCTAAAAAGTCAATACACACACACACGAATGACTCGCTCTCCAACTGGTAGAGTAGCAGCTCCATTAGCCCCTACATGTGTCCTGATATTTACCAACACACAAAACACAGCCTTCTTTATATGTCATGGAAAAGGTGTCTAAGAAGAAGTGGGAAGGAGAGGGCATACAACTTCTTTATAACCCAAGGAATAGAGAAGTAGGTTGATGATGGATGATTCAAGGTCGTAGAACCAAACGAAAAATAAACTGCGCGTAATATCAGCTAGAATTTTGGCATTCAAAAGCCACCCCTAGGTTATTGTCAATGGCATTGTTTTCGCTGCTCCATTGTTCTACTTATAATGTGATGAGTCGATAAAACACTCTTTTGTAGATTTCTTTAGATGAGTGGAGGGAGGAGGAGGGGAGGGGGGGGGGGGGTTATACCTACAAGTACCTACATCGACCGGAAGGGTTGGACTGTGAGTCACTACGGGGTATTTGCAGGGAAGTTGAAGTGAAACTGAACAGCTGTTGTTGTGTCAGACTTTACTGGCTTATTTCCGACTCTAGGCCCAAGTTATCCAGTATGTTAGTTACAACATTTAAAACATGAAGCATTTAAGTAGAACTCTCAGTGCTTCCCACAGGAGATATAAGAGATTCCGGTTAATTAAAATGAACCTTGACAGACAGGGAGCTGAGGTGATGACCGGTTAAGTGGTGGACTAATAGAATTACTAAAACTAATTGTAAAATCACATCGGAATTTAGAACATTGGCTTACCATCATGCTTGCGGAATTCAGTAGTTCTTCTGTGATTATTCGTAAAAGTCGAGGACCATTTTTATCTCGAATTGAGAGGAGTTCGTAAGTTTTGGCGAAAACCATAGCCACTTGACTTCTAGATGGGCAGTGAGAAGGATTGGAATAGTTCGAAGTGGTTTGAGAATATCCAACTTGGAGGCTTTGAGATGACCCATTGTTATTATGAAGGGAATTCGAAGATGATTGGTTTATGGGGGAACTCGACAAAGTCATGTAGCCAAAAAGCGGGAACTTAGACTTCTGGAGATGGCGATAGTTCTCAAGCCATGTCTGTGCGAAGATTTTCCCAGCTGAAATCGTAAAAAACGTTAATTTCCACCAATTTTTAGATGATCATTCAGCTAAGGGCAATTAGCTTTTAATAACCATCTCGAAAGAAATTGGAAAAAGACCATCGGCTAGCCTGTAGGGAAGACCTAACGAGGCTAATCCACTTAGCTTAACAGAAATCCTAAGCCCCAGGCTTTATTAACTATGACAGGCTGGCGGTATCTTAAGTAGATTAGGCTACGACTACAGTTAATAATCGCTTCTGTGATAGCCATTCAAAATGTTTTCAAGTACTACTCACAAATAATTCAAGTAGCGCACGCTTTTATGCAACATTTAGAGGGATGCTGACTTACTCAGGCTGCGAGATTTTGCGGAGTAATCATCCATAGTAGCAGAAGTATGACGATTACTTCGATTTCGTCCATGTTCAGAAGAACCATTTGAAAAGAATCTGGCATGAGTGTGGGAATTTGGCAAGTTTGAGGACATCCCAGAGTTTGCGTTAGGTAATAAAGATCCATCAAATGCACCATGTCCAGAACCAAATGATCCATTTGCAATTGAAGCTAAATCAAGGCGAAATTGTTCCCGAACTCCACTTTCATCAAAGTACCAAGTCGAGGAGTCTTCGATTCCACCTCCCGCAGTTGGATCTGGTGCTCCTGTTGCAGAAAAAAGATCAGTAACTACACCATTTCCTAATATACTACTGAGAAGTATACTTAAAACACTGGACATTTCTCAAAAACCGATAACTGAATTAGAACTTGAATCAATGGTAATTTGGAGAGAAGAGTCTGATTATATGATATATGATTAGATTATGAGCTTATGGATTTCAGTAGTAAGTTATTTATGGGTTTGTGATTTACGATCGTTTGATAACCACAGGTCATATAACTGTCACTATTATCATTGAGTAATCAAAGCATACTAAAAGCCATTCCGTCATATCAGATATGAGGATGAAATGCGTTACCGTTCATTTATCACACATCATTTTTCAAACACGATTACAGAACAATTTTTAATTTACAGAACTGAACACAATGACACATCAAATCACTTTATAAAATGATAGCTTCTCTTTTCTTTAAATTTAAGACTTTAGCAAACAAACGAAGGAAAAATTAAAGCCCAGTATTTTTTAAACCCGAGTGTTCTAGTACTCTTTTTGAATGAAAGATAACTTTGCAAAGGAAACATTTCAAGTGCTTCTTTTCAAAGGTGACATAACTAAAACTCTAAAAGCAGTATGAGAATGATTGATCGATTTTTCCATTCAAACTTAAGAAAAAGTTGAGTTTCTCAAAGGAGAGTGAAGAAAGCTTGAAATTTATCCTTATTTCGAGGAAAATGGAATAGCACAAATTTATTGAACATTTATTAACGTGAGGTAAATAGAATATAGACACTTCAATTTTACTTAAAGAGGAACCATTTAAGGTTCTTGAATGAAACAAGATCTGTAAAGATAAAATGGTCTCTCAGATACTAAACTAGCGGTAATGTCTCCTGTGCTCAAGTCTTGTGAAATGAAATTTGACTTCAACTAACTCGTTTCGTTTACTTGAACTTTCCCTTAAAACCTTAAAGAGTCTGTCTCAAGTGGTGAGGAATGGTTGAGAGCGTTTTTTACAACAAAAGAAAAGTTACCATGGCTTAATCATACCACTACGCGCAAAAAGGATTAACTCTCTCCGCAAAATCTAGAGATGCATTATTTACCAACCTCTAAAATTGCATTTCAGCTAACAAGTATGTGTGGAAGGAATACAATTTTGCCCCATGAATGAGATGGAAATGTGTTTCAAGGCTTCTCCTAGTTACAAAATCGATATTTTTGATACCTTAGCCAGCAGATCCTTCGACCATTGCCTTTTCATACTCCCACCTGGGAATGAGGCTTCCTCAAGGGTACACCACTGTTTACTCAACAACCTTCTATTTTAAATTAAAGTGAGAACGAGGAACTAACTGATAGTACTTCATTCTTCATTGTTTTTTTTCTACAATTTTCAGTGTTTCCACTAACTCTATAGTATACAGATCCCTGGTCCATGTGTTCAAGAATCGGTAAAGAACCATTCACTCTGGAATTGAAGCTCGACCAAATTAAATTCTTCTGTCTCTAAGCCCATGCTCTAATATGGTCTCAAGCCTTGTTCTGCAAATTTACTACCCCTGGTTTCAGTGAAATTGTTCGCCTATCTTAATCGTTTACATTATAGGACTTGACTTCGAGAAGTCCACACAACTTGGAAGCTGGGAATTGGGACGTCAATCTTGTAGATGTGCAGATGGATGACTAAAGCCATCTCCCGGACTAAAACTAGGCTTCGCTAGCACTTGCTCGGTCCTCGGACGTATATGCACGTGTTTGTCTAAAAATAAGTCTCTTCCCAAACGAAATGTCGCCACAAAAAGGTTTCGAAAGTCACATCTACTACATACCACTTCACCTGCTTGGTATAGAAAAAGATACTATACCCAAGTTCCCCTTAAAGAAGTCGTAAACGTCGTGGAAGGGTCCAACAGAGGACATACTATGAAGTTTGAACACAAATTACTTGAACGCATAAAATGCCAATGGAAATTCAAAAGTCGGGAGTGGTGCCGACGCCGAATTTGTCAAATGTGGTCAATTGAGTTAGTTTCAACTAAATTTGATCAAAGCAAGTGACTGTAAATCTTCCCTTTTGTAAGCCAAAATCCACAATAATTCTCATACACTTGATATAGAAATAACTTCAAGGAATGGAAGTCTTAGTAACAAGGAGCTTCTAGTCACAGCTGTAGCTCTCTAGAACTCTTGGTTTCGAAATCTGAATTCCCAAATTTACCCCCCCCCTC